GGATGATCTTAAAGGTCTTTTCCAACCTAAACGATTGTATTCTATTCTAAGTAGACCTCCACATCTGGAAGAGCTGCAGGAGGGCAGAGCAGGTTCCGCTACAGGCTGAGCAAAGCGTTTCTGTCGTCTGCCCGTAGGCTGGGAAACGCAGCAGCTCCAGTCAGAGACGTGTGCTGAACCCAACGCCCAGCCCAGCTCTGCAGGAGATCCCCCACCCAGCACTCCTGCCTCTACCAGCGTACGTAACTAGCCAGGCGCATCTCGCGGGAGGGTTGGGGTCCTAACCGCTGGTTTAAATAGCTTTTGTTGTGTGGTAACGCTGGTTTAAGTAGCTCCTTTTGCCGTTCCTGCGCCTCCCTGCTTGCGGCCACGCAGTTCTGCCCCGTGCCCTGCCCTCCTCTCCCCGTGCGATGCGCCCAGCACAGCGCCGCAGCACCCTGCGACAGGAAACTGCTCTGGGGAAGGGGAAGATGTTCAGCTCCCTAATTCAGCTCCTTGCACAAGCAGCTGAGGAGATGGGAGGAGGGAAGGGGAGCTCAGGGCAGAAAGGGCTGTTTAGGCAGCCTGATTACTGCAGGTGACACAGTCCCACGGTACAATCCACACCTTCAGCATAGTTTTTACTATTTTTCATTACGCGCAGACTGACCGGCAAGAGGCTACTAGTCCCAATCAGTATTTTGTCCTTGCTTTCTTGCCCTATGCTCTCCAGGGCAGGGATTGTTTACTCCTGGACTTGGCAAATCCTTTGTGAACATATACTAGACTCTAGAAACGCTCTTTCATAGGCAGTGAAAAGTCATCTTAGTCAGGCAAAACTAGAATTCCTCGTCACACAGAGCCTCAGTATCACAGCTAGTCACAGCTTTTAAAGAAATCTTAAGGTACAGACACTGTATGACTGTATCTAACAACGGTGCTCAAAAATAAGCTCTTTCACCATGATACATTACTTTCAATTTTACCATTATACATTACTTTCAATTTTAGCATACAAATCCAGGAGTGCTAGTGCAGACTACTTAAATTCTTAATAGGTATCCATTACAATATTTCCCGTCTCTTTGATACTTGATATTATTCCTAATATTCTCCATGGGTGAGATCAGACAAAATCTTTGCAAGAATTGGTGATTTGGTGGAGTCATGCCCATTCACACAAGCAGAGAGTTTTTCTAGTATGCTGTATCTAAAACAGCATCCCAAATACTCTGTTCGTGTCCATCTCTCTGAATTAGATAATCTTCTTTCTGTACCTCGGGATACACTGGCTTCCTCTGCAGCTATTTCAAAAGTTGTAAAAGCAATTTGGAAAAAGCACAGTTAATGCTGTTCAATCATCGTAAAAACATTTCCCCAGATGGTTTATAGTTGAAATGATTCCTGACCTTGATTAAGTATATGATGAGTATGCCAGTTCCCTGACAGCACTATACGGCTAAATTATGCTCCTCTTACTGCTATCTATTAGGTCCAGATTCAATTGGCTCACGTCTCTTTACCCTGCAGTACCAAAGGTTTTGGTCTCCTTGTTATCTGTGTGAACATTTAAATTTCGTTTTCAATTAGTGGGAATAATACACTAGTAATAAATTAATTTTTTTTAAAAAAGAGAAAAGTATTTTGTGTATTCAGCCAACAGAAGAGTGACTTCAGCGTCTGAATGAGATTATGAGAAATCAGTTTTACTTCCTAGACCTGTGACCGAGTTTCTATTTTACCAGGGACTTGCAACCTCCAGCTCTAGCAGAGTGGAGACACAGAATGGTCAGGCTGGAAGATGAAGAAAAAAGGAAGTGAACGACAAAGCTCATCTTATAAACTCTGAAAAGTCTGGTTTGGAGCAAAATGGAGAGAAAGAAAAAAAGAAAGAAGAAACCACAACCCTAAGAACAGAACAGTTGGGGAAAAAAATCTGGCAGCCTTTGAGCACCAAGCTGACTTAAACCCATGGGGACGTAAAACTCTCTAGCCCTTCAGAAACTGCTGTCATTACCACTCACAGTGCATTACTGATCTTTCCTAAATTCAATACACATTTTTTTTCTTGTTTCTCTTCGTCAATATCTAACATGCCTATTCTCCGCAAATATGTATTTTCATTTGGAAACCCAAATCAAACACTTCTCCAAATACACTGCAATAAAAAAGAGAATCAAGTGACCTTTGAAAATACTGCCTGGTGTCAGAAATGATTTTAAATTATTTTAAAAGGTTATGAGCATTCTTACCCTCCATGGAAACGTCCTCTCTTCTGCTCCTGTTGAATGCGGATATTCTCCAGTCTAAGCGGGCTTGGAATAAAGCCAATCTCGCAGCCCTCCTTAACCAGCCTTCCTATCCACCAGTCATTATTATATTTCTGGAACACAGAAAGGTTACTGGCTTCCGTCCAAAATGCTCCAAGTCTGAAACTGCCTTATATTGTTATCCACAATCCTTAACTCCATACTGGTCAACGAAACCAGACTCACGCTGACGTCTGAACGTTGGACAGTCCGTGTGAATTTAAGTGAAGCTAAAAGGTGCTAGGCAGCATTTGGAAGGTCGATGTCGTCTTTGCAGCCGGACAGTGGCAAGTGGTGTTATCTGTGGTGGTACTGGCTTATCTCTTAACTGGCCCAACACATCCTGCTGTGACTTTTCCTCTGATGTCACCAACTACGGTGCCGAGTGTAATGGTGATTTAGTGAGAGGAACCAATTTCTGGCGAACCAAGGGGCCACCAACTACCTCACAGTGGCCATATAAAGCAGTCAAAAATAACACCTTCAGATCACCACTGAAACCACTGTTATTGGTTCCTTCTAAAATTTAATGGTCTACACCAAAGACCACCACCACCACTGCTGCCGTTTTTCCTTCCTCCTCTCCAGGTAGTTGTACGGATGTTATCAACATGTTATCCCTTTGCAAAAACCTTGTGTGGTGGAAAAGCTCTACAAACACCATCCTAGAAAGTGAAATAAAGATAGACCAAGCTATCCAAGACAACATAGAAAACGTATCAGCTCCAGCAATGAACCAAACATGTATCTGGTTAATCCTATGGTAGAGCTCTACCCAAAGTCGCGACACCTCTCTACAAATGAGGCTTTTATAGTGCCGCTGCCTAGAAGTAGCTAAACAATTTGGAGGCATGCACTTTTAAATTTACGACAGCTGAAGAAAAATTCACCTGTAGGAAGAAACTTTGACACATACCTGAAAGAATCAAATTTGATTTTATCATTAGCCTTTAGTAACATACATTTTTCTGCATTATTGAAAGTCTGGCCCAACTTTAATGACGGAAAGATGAAAAGGGGTATTGTAGTGGAAAAGGATTTGTTGTAGCTGGCTGCCAGCAGAGCTTTTGAAGAAAAATAGCTGAAAACCTTATACTCTGCTATGCTTCATTAGGCACCTCAGTGTTCAAAAGAAACATTACTTTTCACAACCGACTTTCATGTCATTAAGAGCAGCACGGGTGTACCAATTTTGTTTGCATGCCTTAAGGAAAAAGTTATCACAGAAATCTCGTCTCAAAAATGATCAGTTCTCTTGGCTCCATATTCTCAAGCACTTAGGTTCTTGCAGAAACACTTAAATACCGTGTTCTGCTTGTCAAAGGTACAACAGTGCCTAACTGAAGTCTCTGAAACGTACAGAGCCTCAATATCTTTGAAAAATAAATTAGCCTTTTTATTAACCCATACATACACACAAATATTAACATATACAGCTAAGGGAAATGCAATCCTTATACCCTCATCTTGAACACCTGTCCTTTTTATACAGCTGTTATTCATGCAAGTGGTCCCATTATTTTATCATTTCAACTTTCTAAGTATCTATTCTTCATGCCCTTATGACCCTGATTCAGACAACATCAGTAAGCAAAGCTTAATTTTAAATATGTTGCTTCTGCTTAAGTGGACAGAACTATTTCATTCTTTAAAATAGCCAAATTCCTCAGGATCTAGCATTTTGCTGTTGTAAATCAGTGAAATCAACCAATGGATTTAAACCACTGTAAAAACAGAGTCCCATGAGCATTACCCATTCTATTTTGGTTCTAAATGTACGGCTTGAACATGGGAATCTTTCTTCCGCTAGCAGGTCACGGACCTCTGAGCGATGCCTCTAGACATGAGATGAGAATCAGCGTTATGCTGAGAGTATCTGAACAATACAAATGACAACGATGCAGCGAGGAACGCAGGGCTATTTGCATTAGGTCATTACCTCCCATATGTTATTCTTCGCATTCAGCATGTGGGAGGACTAGAGTTCATTCCTATTGGTTGCCATGCCCATGATTTCTTCTGCATTGTCAGTAATTGTTGCCACTTCATCTTTTAAGTAAGCACATAATGTATAGTCTTGCAGGAGACAGATGAGACATACAGAACACATTCTCAATATAGCAACTCATCGGTTACTGCTGCTGTTTCATCCTGTCAGCAGGGTGACCTTACTTCTTACCTAGTTTAGCAGCATTCTAAAAATCTGTAACCATGCTGGTTCTAGTTCAAGCAAGCCTGCCAGATCATTGAAAAACAAATTCTGCAAAGCCCTTTTCCATGCAGCTAGACTCCAGCATAGGGAGCAATTCCTGAAATCCTGCTGAGTTACAGCCACAGCATCAGGCAAGCTGAAGGTTTCAGCGTTAACAAAGAAACTATGCTAAACCCTTAGCAGAGCTGACAGATACCAGTAAGCCAGATGGCTTACAGCTGAGTGGCAGCGTGATCCTGGCCATTTAGATCTTGGAAAAAAACTCACAGAATGCCAAGACATGGACTTGGGACACTTCTCTGGAAAAATGTGCAGGGCAGCATGACAGGAGCTTAGCGCATTAAATTCAATCACTAGCCTGACAATAAAGGCAGCCACATCCTAGGAAACCCAAGATCAAATACTCGTTTTAATGGTGATGCACAGAGTTACCTCAACAGCTACACAGGACAACGTACACTAGAATGTGTCGGGTAGGGTACATTTCTGGTGTGGGTGGGAAAACGTTGGGGAAGGTAGCTGAGAAAGTGATTGAGTGCTGGAATGGATGCAGCTGTCTGCATTCAACTCTGAGTGCTAGCAAAGGATCTTCTCCTGATGGAAGGCAGGTTTAGAAAGTGGCATACATCGAGGGAGTTCAGGTGTGGTGCTAGACGGAGCAGAACAGAGTCTTGGGGAACCAAGAGGAGGGCAATCAGTTCTGCATGCAGAGATAGGCAGATTCAGATTCAGTGCTCCACTTCCTCAGCAGGCACTTAAGCACTGTTCCACACAAATATCAAAAAAACCCAAACACACAAAAGAAACAAACACAAAAATCCAAATCAAACTTCCATCTGTTTGCAGCCAATTGAGAAAATGGAACAAGGGAATCAACTGCCTCTCCCGTGTCCTTCTCAGGGAGAAAGAATTTAAAGCACACCCCCCTGTTCTACCACCAGTCCCTGCCTCTAGAGGTGCAGAAGCAGGAGTTTTCCTCCTAAACATGCTCAGTCTGAGGGAGGTCAGGGCTCTGAAGCGATGACAGACATGTTCAAAGAAAGAGACAAATGAGTACTGAACACCCTTGAATAAACCCAGAGATGAAAAAGTGTTTTTGCAAGCTGCAAGCCTATGTACAAATCTACAAAACAACAGGGGTTTGTGCAAATTTGGAGGGCTCACTTCAGATAAAGAATTGCAGAATATATGCTCAATATGCAATAAAATGTATTTTTCTCTACCAAAGCCATACTCAGGGCCTGTTTATTCCCATTCCTTTTTCCTTATTTTTGCATCTGTCCTCTTCAGTATTTTCTTTTCTTACTGCATTATTCTAAGTCTTATTTCCTCCCTTACAAGCCTATCCGGTCCTTTATGAAGGCCTGGTGTAACCTGGTGCTACTCCACTTTCTGATCAACAGAATCCCTTTCTATCACGTAATCTCTGATCCATCACAAACTTCATTTGATGAAAAGAATCTGAATCTACCATGTTGAAGGGGATTTAAAATATAGCAAGACGTTATTTCCTTCCTGTGACATGAAAATCCAACGAGAAGTTGGTAACATCAAGCATTTAAAAAGCGTAAGACAACCACCCCAGGGTGCTGGAACTCTAAAAAGGCTGAAGTACCACATCATCACTCATCAGACAGATGTGCTGTGCTCTCCTGCCTCCACTCTTGGCTCTCTTTTTCACCTGGGATGGCTCAGCCCAGACCGTTCAAATCATAGCCCTTGGCATGTAAAAAGATTCCTTTTCACTACGTCTTGGTTTTACCTCTTTAATGTGTAGGAAGTCCTTGGCATCAAAAGAGATGGCAGTGCTCGGGACAGGAACATCTTCATCCAGAGCTCCACAGTAACTCACATTAGTCTTAACAGCAAATGCTACTGGTTTGGACTACAAATAGAAACACACATCACAAACAGCGGAAACTTTTCTGAATCAAGAATTGTTATCAAATTACCAAAAACCTAGCAGAGGCCATTTGCCAAATACATCAAAATTCAGACTTAATAATTTCACACAAGCCAGCAGAGTTCAGCTCCCTAGAGAAGATCCCCATTTATACGAGAATATTTACACTATATTCCCCCAAACATCTTCTCTGAAGATAACTTGACTCAACTGCCAAACTATTTCAGAAGAGAGCATCGTCATCATAAACCAACAGTGTGAATTTTAACACTAGGCAAAAGACAAATGCCACATAACTTCTTATTAAAGTTGAAAAGAACACACCTTTGCCCTTTCAAGCTGTATAGCTGCTTGTTGTTCTCTTTCTTGGCGGATTGCTTCCCTGTCTTCTTCCAAAGAGACATCAGAGTCTGAGGGTCTGCTTGTGTACGAATCTGCTGAGCCCTGAAATTAAATTCATGTCACTAAGAAAACACATATGTAAGAAACAGAAAACCCCTCCCCACTCAGGTTCATAAAATACTTTTTAAATATTTGCTTCTTAATTTCTTTGAGTGGATTTTACATATTGTCATTAGCACAAAAAACGTGCTGAATTTAGCAGAGAAATCATCTGGGTTTACCGATCAGGTGCGCTAAGGCAAAGACAGAAATCCCAAGAAAAACCTCCCTCTCCATTTTCACAGCATCTCTTCACTTTCTTATTGACACAGCGAAATATAGCTCAGTTGTGGGCACCGTCCAGAAATCTTTATAATATTTAAATCCTGTTTGACAACCTTAGATTCAAGATTGTCAAGGGCTAGGTCACATCAAATATAATTAAGGTATTATAAAGCTTGGTTAGAATCACCCCTCCCTGTAAATACAGTACCATTGTGTAAGTACTTCCCTCCCTGCCGTGGGTGCCACTCACATAAAGCTTTGTTCTGTGCTTCAAGAGGGAAAAAAAGCAGCAAAAGTCACATTATTAAAAGTGACTCAACAGGGCAACACAAAGCTGTACAATGATATGAAATAAAAAAACAGCACATAGAAGCAGCAGCAGCATGCAACAGCCTGTAAGGGGGGAAATAAGGTACTGCCACAGATTTTTTTTTTTTTTTTGTCTGGGACATTATTCAGGACACCTGGCAACATCTGAAGCATGCAGTGGCTTCTCTCTTCTTTTTCTAAAGCAACCTGACTCCAGCATCCTACACAGCTGATCTTTATGTTAGCGTGGCGCCAACTGAAAGACAGGGGTTTACTCTTGCAAAAGAGATAAGTAAAGGGAACGTTTACTCATGATGAATCCGAAACAGCAATCCCCATCTCTCCAAAAGCTGAAACACACACTTGACCCAGGAGCCTAGCAAGACAAGGACTGGAACCTGGACTTCAAGG